AAACACCTCTTATGCTGAACATCTGCTCTTACCCCTGTTTTGCAAGGTGAATGTATTTAACACAATCTCAAATAACTAACAGAATACAAGAGGAGGTAAAAAAAATCTCAAATGCTTATATTACTTACCCAGAAGAACAAGAATAAACAGCTTTCCTTATGAGAACAGGGAACAAACCCTTCTTTATCCCAACACATTGTAAAGGGTGAACAGGTAGCTCCAAGAACATTTCCCATTAAAAGTAGCAAAGGGGGAAGTTAACATTTTTTGAAAGCACGTGAGGTAAAGTTACCTCTGTCTCTTACCAGCAGTATAAAAAAACGCAAGTTAGATAGTACACACAGCAAAGCCTGTGTAACGTAGTACAGAACTATGTATTTACCTAGACAGATATGTGGTGGTAAGTTTCATCTCTATGTATTTCTATAAAAGTTACTTATCTGAAGAGCATTTGAAGTTCTCACCTGTTCAGATGCTAACCAGTACAGCAGGAATTAAAATACCTTATTCCCATATAGGGTTGGGACTTCATTCTCATATGCTGTGTGCTAGAATAGTGCAGTGTCACATTTTGAAAGCAAAATCTCCCTTTCCAGCATCAACAGCTCCAACAGACAATACTATGCAGGCCAAAACAGGTAAAAGCTGCTAGAAACGGTCACAGCTGTGGGTTTTGTAATAAAGATTTCGCTGATGATCACTGTAAGTCTTCCTGTTTGAACAGCCAGTCTATATGCAATTCATCCCTCACCGTAGCCTCAGTACGTGGCAACACCAGTACTCTGTATTTACAGCAGCACAGGATCAAGGGCATGAACAACTCTGCTGACTACAGAACCTTTTCTTTCACAGAGAAGGTTTTGCATTCAGCTGCTGAGCATTTGCCTTCTGTCCAGAAGCCTAACACTGTTGCTGGGGAAATACCATCTCCAAGCAGTATTTTAAGAAAAATCACTTGACAGTTGTTGACCAAGTCTCTGAAAGCCCCAGCCAACAAATCTCAAGCATTTTACTCTTAATAGACACAACATTAGACCTAGCCTCTTCACGATAAGCTTGGTGGTGCTCCAGCTTTTGTGGGTTGCCACTCATCTACATGAGAAAGGAGGCAGAGCAGTATCGGACAGGGCCCGAGGGGTTTGGACACAAGTCTGCATTGCCAGAAACAGGTTCCCGAGCCCCCTCTAGTGGCACTGGGGCTGGAGAGAGGGCTGGCGCCTTACTGGGAAGGGTTTGACAGCTGCCTCACGGTAATTAAGGGAGGAGTTCAGAATAATCTCTAAGGCATGACCATCACAACAGCTAAAGTACCAAATGCACTTTAATGAGTTCCAGATTTTGTTCCCAGAAGGAGTTTATAACACGTCAGTACATTAGGCAGGTACACAACTTCCCCAGAACTACAGACATGAGAAGAATTGGCTGTAATATACTAGGTATTTAAAATTATTATCAGAAACCAGTTTTCCACAGTATTAGAAATAAGGCATGTTTCAGGTGTGCAAGCAGCTGCTATATCCAGTCTTCAGATGCCGTATTTGCCCTTTAGTTCTTCCACTTTTGCTATGTAAGCTTTCATTGCATCTTCTTTGGACATTCCTGAAGGACAGGACACAGGAAGCAGTCAGATACGTTTCACAGATTAAAATACATTTTACATTTAAGTCACAACTCCTTGCTATATACACACAGCAAAGCCTGTGTAACTTAGTACAGAACTATGTATTTACCTAGACAGATATGTGATGATAGGTTTCATCTCTACCTATTTCTATAAATCAAGCAGCATGCTACCAGAGAGCAAACACAATAATGAGGTCATTTGGCTGTGTATCTAGTATTACAGTTTTAAACAAATGCGTTCAGCTGTCATGAGAAAGTGTTTCAAAGCAAAGTTATATTTTTATAGACAGCAACTAAAAAGTGTATTAGTTCTATTAACACCATTCACAATTATTACAGGAAAGCTGTTCAATCAACTTACACTGCATTTAGATGTAGTGCTGGCTCCTTAAAATACAAGAAAAATCCCATTTTCATGGATTAGACCACTTGTTTAGCTCCTCATTTACAGCAGAGAGCCCAGCTGCATCTTCCAGTTAGGAAAACTTCCCCAACAACTCAGGGGAGAGCTCAGTCTCTGGGCTACTACACTGGGACTTAGAGAACAGATTTAGGTTTCTGCTGCTGCTACAGTTCTCTCTCCTTAGTGTAACATCTTGGGTCAGCTGGGCAGTTTGCACCTTAATTCCCTCTCACATAGGCTACATTCTTCAGGATTACTTCTGTCTTGCAGAGGTAATCAAAAGTAAGAGGTTTACGATCACAGCATTCTGAACTTCTAGAACTCTTGACTTACAAGGCAACACTTTTATTTCTTGCCGAACCACATATGCTTTCTTGACTAGTTTGCCTGTGGTTTTATTTATTAATTTTTATTTTTTAAGCAGACACTTACCTTTCAATGCATTCCAGGCATCCCACTTTGCTTTGCCTTTGAAGTCCAGCATACCAGGGCGGTCTGAGAGAGACAGGATAAGCAGATGATTCAGTTTGGGTGGTCTGGGTGTAGGTAATACCCACTCCTTTCCTGAAGGCTATTTACCTCTTAACTATGTTAAAATTTCATTCATCTTTGCAGCTTTTACTTACTAACCTGTAATCAGGAGATCACCTCAAGGGAGCATGCTGGAACGCTGTTGGTCGCAACAGAGATATTCTCTGTCAAGTTCCCTTAAGGTAAGCAGCATTTGAGCAAAAGAGCACCAAATAGTGTGATCTGGTTTTATCATACTTTCTGAAGAGACTGGTGTCACGTGACAGCTATCCCACTAAAGAACATCATCTCTGAAGTAAGGCAGAAGTGCCCTAAGGTCCATTACATGCAGAAACAGGAAAACAAGAACTAGTAGCATACAGCTTAGAACTCATTATCATCAAGTTAATGGTATATTTCTAACATATAGCTCTTCGTTTGTTCTGTCATCTAGGCGTATAAGCTCTGAATCCTAATTCATTTAATTGCAAGCTACGTTGTGTCCAAATAAATGAATGAGATATGGATGTATATATCATTATTCTTCATGTAAAGTGCCCTCTGTGATTTTACTTTCTCTCTGTCTCCTTAAAGACAATTCTTAGGATTAACAAATAGAACTGGGCAGTAGCGCTTACATTAGCCACAAAAATACCATTGTGCCTCTCATGTGGCAACATGACCTGCAGAGCTAGCTGGCAGCTCCACTTCTCTCCAACAAAAACCCTATTAGCTTACGCTTACACGGACTGCTTTTCTAGCCAACTCATGTTAGCTATTGCTTCACACAAATGCAGTAACTTACAGAAATGTTTGTATATTAACATATCTGGAGCACCATTACACCTTGGCAAACATCAATAATGCAAAGATCTAGCCACACCAAAAGGACTGTATCTTAAACCCAGTCAGTTTTTTTTCCTCCCTCCATGCTGCCCTTCTTGGGAAAAAGAGACTGCAAGTGCCCATACTTACAGTTTCCCCGTATACTTCAATGCCAGCTTTTAATTTAATCAACACCCAATAAACTTCAGCAACTGGGTCAGCAGGCCAGCACTCCAAACAAGTGACCTTTTTCCTTTCTAATTCTAGTTACTCAAGTGTTACACAAGGTCAAGAGAGGCAGGCTTCATTCTAAATGCTACTCCTAGGCTGAGCTGCTAGTGACAGAAATGTAGCATAAGAAACAGCAGGAGAGATTTTGCAGGGCCTACCTACAGAGATATTTCTGCTACAGTCCTTCCAAGATGTGATACTTAATAGCAGATCCTATATAAATTTCCTCCTGCTCTTCTGTCTTGGCCTTTCAACACCATTTTTAGCAGCCAACCCCGATTAAGCAAATTGCTCTCCCTCCAAGTACTGGAATTCTACATTTGTATGGCTTGACTTGCTGTTTGAGCCCATTTAACTGAGAAGTATTTGTATTAAAGCAGCATCCCTTGACCTTGGCAGCTACTTACTGATAGAGGTCTCCAAAAATCCCAAACCCAATATTTGCACAAAGCTAACGCAAAGGATTCTCAGGCAGTTGTCATACGATTTCAATGACCGCAACTGGGCTAATCGAAAAAACCCACAAGTTGCACAAACCCTTATCAAGTCAGCTTACTCCTGCCTGCACGTAAACCCATGCCAAGTCGGCACTGAGTCATTTTTGCTAAATCGCAGGATTGCACGAAGCGAGGCACGCAATAGGGGAGAAGTTTCGCCTCCCCCAGTGCCTCCCGCTCGGCCTGGGGCCGGAACCGCCTCACACCGGAACCGCGGCGCAGGGCCCGGGGGGGGCCAGGGCGGTACCCACCCGTGTTCACGTCGCCCACCGTGACCTGTTTGTAGTGGCTGTAGATGTCCAGCATCTCCTGGTCCGTCGGCTGGGACTTGAGCTGCTTCACCTCCTCAGCGGCCTTCTGGAACTCGGCCTAGAGAGGGTGGGAGGGGCGGGAGACCCCGAGGAAGGGCGGGGGTCAGCACCCTCGAGCTGCCGCCGCCAAACGTGAGGGGTGGGGGGGCGGGTTGGTGGGAAGGGGGAGGCACCACCCCAGTTCCCCCCAGTCCCGCAGCCCGTACCTCAGACATGGCGACAAGCCCACCAAGATCGCAGCCCCCCGCCGTCTGCCGCACCGCTCCGGCAGCTCCGTCGCTTCACCCCTCGCCAGAGCGCCTGCCGGCCAATCCCAGCGCCGCGGGCAACGCGCCGCCAATCGGCGCCGGCAGGGGGCGGGGAGAAGCCAGGCAAAGGGCCAATGCGGAGGCGGCGCGGGATAGGCGGGCTGCGGGGAGGGGGGAAGAGGCGGGGCCACGGCACTCGCTGGCATGAGGGGCATGAGCCCCGCCCAGCCGGCGCGTGAGGGGGCGGAGACAGAACGCCTTGCAGCCAATCCCTCGGCCCGGTGGGTGGTGCCGGAAACACGCGATTGGTGGGACTGTGTGAGGCGGGGCGAGGACAGAGACACGGAAGTGGCGGCGGGGAGCCGGTGGTATGGCTGAGGGCCGTTAACGGTCCCGATCGGGTGGACTGAGGCGGTGCGAGGGTGGGGTGGGGTGTTCGGTCTTGAGGAGATTCGCTGGGGCAGGGAGGAGCCGGGCTAGGCCCGGGAGAGGTTCCTCCTCCCAAAAGGAATTGGCTGTCAGCGCCCTGAGGGGAGTCTGGGTCTGTACAGGGAGTGTGAACGTCGGCGATTTCTGGTGGTCTGTGCTCCCAAGTCTATATTCCTACAGTTTTCTTCCATGCTGCTCTGGAGAAAATAAATTGAATGCTGTCCCCTTTATACTGTGCCCTTCATATCTCAATCCTATGTGAGATATCGTCGAGGAAATAACAGTTTTTTGCTAGTAATGTAAATTATTTCAGGTGCAAATTATGCTTTAATTGATTGGTATATTTTGTTTGTGTATCACAGTTTATTTAAAATGAAAGTGGAATTAGAGCTCTGGGAATTATTAACCAAGGGGATGTAAAGGCAAGTTGCCTTGTGATATGGAAGGCTTGTGTCCCCATTCTTCAGAAAGTATTTGAAGAAAATATTGCAGGTTTACTTTGCCAGGATACAGCTAAGACAAATACAGCAAAGACTGGGAGGTACCTGGAAACCTGCGTTGATGGTGGGGTGTTTAAATAAACTTCTGACACATCAAAAAAGGCAGGGGAAAAAAAAAAAAAAAAAAGACACACAATAACATAAAGGGATGAATAGGTAAGAGAATCCCTTGCAGGCCTGGAAGTGGTGACTGAAATGGCTGTGAAGGGATAGGAGATGCAGAGGTCATGCTGTGCCCCTGGCTGATGTTACAGCACTTAGACTGCAGTCTCTGCTCATTGCTGCAGCAACCACGGCAGTTTAGCATGTGACCAGAAAGCAAGGTTGTTGAGAAATACCGAGCACAAAAAGTAGAGAAGATTGCTGAGTAGGAGATAGCTTGTTTTCCTGTGGAGAGGAAGAACCCGATGGAACAACGCATGGTCTTGTTTGAAGAGGGACTCGGGTTGATCAAGTGATTTCATTGTAGGTTCTGTTCTCTGTTAAATTAGTATAAGCCTTGTAGAGCCATTCTAGAGAGCTGCTGTTATAAATTAAAACCCCCCTTAATTATCTAGTAGTATACCAGGAGATTTATTTGCATGTGTATGTGGAGGAGGTTTTTCCACTTTCTGTAGAGAGGTGAAAATGAGTGTTGTGTAACAACTTAGGCATTTTTCAGGGAATTATGCTCTTGACAACATAAGTATATTAAAAAGATTTTGGTTTTGTTCATGTTAGTACATTCTTTTAGAGCACAAGATTACTTACCCAGCAGGTAAAGTCTTCAGTCACTTAAAACCCAAACAACATACTTGCATTTATGCATAACATTTTTGTGTATTTAATATGGAATCTGGTGGTGTAGTACACAGCACAGGTACAAATACTGGACTATTTGGTGTGCAGTATCAGTAATATCCTAAGTAACGCTGTTTATTTTGAGATTCAGTTGCTGCTTCTGTAGAAATACTAAAAGTGAAGTCCTGAAAAACATAATGCTATTGAATTTCCTGCTGTGTTTTAATCTTTGAATGAGGCCCACCTGCACCTTGTTTTATAGCTGTGCTTGTACACAGAAAAGGCAGTAATTCCTCTTTTTAGTGTTTTCCAGGTTATTCAGAATTAATTCTCATGTCAGCAGAAAACTCAACTGTCACAGTTCGTCTTGTTCGCTCTTTTGAACACCGGAATTTCAGACCTGTGGTGTATCATGGAGTTAACTTGGATCAGACAGTAAAGCAGTTCATTACTTTTGTGCGGGAGGGTAAGAGGCTGTTGTCTTACTCATTTGCTTCAGTCCCATGTGTTACTGTCTGCGCAAGAAAGTGGAAGGGAGCAAATGAATCGGAATTCTGTGGCTTTCGTAAAGATGCCAGATTTGTTTTCACATCGCCTGCATGCTCTCCTCCCTTGGAGGAGCGGTCTGGAGTTAATAAGAGCTTCCATGGTCAGTGTGCCATGCCTAAATTTGGATAGACTGCTCCCCTGCCCCAATCCCCATGTTTAGTCAAAAAGAGCCAGGGGCATTGCTGCGTTTGGCTCAGTGCCTCAGGCTCCTTGAGAGGTGCTGTCAGGCAGCTATTCATAAATTAACAGGAGTAAATTAATAGAATGTAGAGAGCCTTTGATCCTTAGGAGCTACACCAATATATGGAATGTGGGGATGCAAGTCTGTTTGCTATTTGTGAGAAGAGAGGCTCTTGAAAAATTATTTTTGACACTGTGCATTGTTTGCTTCTGAGTTTCTGTCTCCATCTTGAGCTTTGTGGTGTGGATTTGCTCATCTACAGGCTTTATGTTGTAGAAGCCTGGTTGAAAGTGACACTGTATCTAAAGATAATTATTGAAGACCAGCCCACGCAGCACCTCAGCAGTGAGGGTGTTACCCTAATCTTGCAGGTGTGTTTCTACACATGTAAATGGAGACATTAAAAGGGTGCAGAATAACGTAATTTGTTTCATTTTTTTTTTTTTTTTTTTGCGTGAAATCAGGTCATCTTAAACAAGTCTGAAACTGTTACAGCTGATAACATTTGAGCAACTCCTAGGACACTGCCCTGGGCCTTATGGCTGTATTGTGTTCTCAGCAACTTCCATGCTTCTAGACAGTGATAGTCATGGCAAGATCTTAGGATGCTTTTAGAAAACTACAAGCACTTTCAGAACATATAGAATCGTAACTATAGAATCTGAGCCAAGGGTTGTGTTTTAGTATTTTATACTCAGACAAGTCTCCTGTGTTGAGGATTTATTTTAGTGCAAAGGATGTCCAGGATGCATACATTGCACAATAATGGAAAATAAAATATTGGAAATTAAAAAGGACAACTTTGTTTTCACTTGGTGTTTTTATTTTAATAGATGTGTCTTCAAGAACAGGACTTCCTCCCCCTTTTAAAAATTACAAGTATGGTAGGTGGTTTTTTCTCTTGTTTTAATTCCTGTAAAATGCAGACATTTTATACCAGTTTTTATGCAATTTAGAAGATAACTACTGTAGAATACTCAAGCTGGTGGCAGTTCCTGCAACTCTCTCTGGCTCTTGTAGCTGGGGTTATGCTGCCAGGATCACGTCTACAGAACTTGACCGTTATTTTGAAGTTCTGTATTAATCTTTGAATTAGGCTTCATGTTATACATTATTTGCTGATTCGTACCAGTGGTTTTTGGTATTAATTTTGTATTTCTTTTATAAGTACCTTTTAACTCTGTTTTTACTCTAGTGAGCTGTTTGTGGTCTCGGACAGTTTGAAATTGTAGTTCTCTATGTGCTTATGTGTTTCACTATCTATTTACTAATTGTGAAGTCAGAAATGATGGTGAAGTGGGAGCTGAAGGCAGTAAATAGAAAATGCTTAAGGCTTCTATACTTAAATAGTTTACATGATATAAGAGAAGCAGGGGAACTTTGCTCAAAGTAGATATGAAAGCTTTTAAATGCAAGCTGACAGTGAAATAGCCTGGTGTGAAATTCAGGCTGACTTCATCCTCCAGTGTAAAGCTATGTGTATATTTCTTTTTTGTGAAGATTGGCATGAACATGTGCAATTCATCTGTTTGGGAGAGAATATACTTCAAAATAGACTAAATTCCTTCCTTTCTTGGAGTTTAACTCGGATGTCAGTAACGTATCTTTTCTTAAATTTGGCAATTCTGAAAGTTCCCTTGGAGTTTTGCTGCAAGTGACCCTCTGTCTCCCATGTTCTTGAAGTTGACGAACTCCTTGCTCTACAGTGATTCAGAGTTCAATGAGGAACCTACTTAATACATGTGAATGGTAATAGACATTATTTGCCTATTCAAAAAAAAAAAAAAAGCCAAGCATTTAATTCTGTGTTCTTGCTGATGGTGAAACAGATAGTGCAAAATGAAAGAAGAAAGAGTAAGGGATTAAGATTTATGATATGTCAGTGGCAAGGACTTGAATGTTACTATTATTTTCAATATATTACTTAAGGTATTTAAATCTGGGTAGCTGTATGTTTGAATTTGGAGGTGCCCTTCCTCCCTCTAATATCTGTGGCTTTGGCTAGATGAGGGGGTCCTATCTAGAACTGCTGCTATCAGTGGTATTCCTGGTGTTGCCTATCCCTGCTGCTAGTTCTTTCATCACTTAGAGCATCAGTTTATTTTTTCCCAAGGCATATGTTGTGGCTGAGCACCTGATTGTGATGTGTAGGACTGAGCATAACATGGGTGAAAAACACTGCAGAACTTTAAAACCTGTTACACCAGTTAGTGGGGGCCTACTTTTAGTGGGATGGTGCTAGCTGCATGGAAATTTTCACACAGAAAAATCAAAGTCAAGTTCCTCACCTTCCCCTCAGGCTGTGAATCATCCAGGTTCATGTTTTTGGCATCTCTTGTGTGCTCTACTGTCTTTCTTGTATTTTGATGATGAAAGGGCAGTGAGACTTCTGCATGAATAGTACTAGTAGGAGTCAGATTTCTCCTCTGCTTTGTTTGGTAGTGCCAGAAATCTCAGCTGGACCTCGCTGTCTCTCACCTTGCCTGTTTCAGCTCCCTTCTTTCCAGAATTCTGCACCACTTTGTTCTCTCAATATCATAGATAATGCCATCACGTTTTTCCACTGGGCTTGGTGCTCCAACTCACATCTCAAAGCTTGTGACTTTCATTTTCTCATCATTCTTGTCCATGGTCTAGAACTCTTCTTTGCCAATACTCTTCCTACCTTGCAAAAACTCTTCCTACCTTGTCATTGCCATCTTTTCACTGATGATGGCAGCCTGGGTGCCAACTTGTCTCATAAGCTGCTTCTCAATTTATTTATTTTTTTTTTTCCTTCATGAATGTGGACCAATATTGTAGATACTTAACAGAATCAGACTTGGAAAATGATTTCTCATCTGTCGTCATGAGAGACCTATTACCAGAAAAGGAAAGATAAAAATTTGGGAATATGATTCGGTGGGACTAAATGGGGGTGAAATAGCAAAGGCTATTGAGAGGACATAAGGCTTTAGCTAGGATGAGAAGAGAATGCAGTTTCATATCTGTAACAGTTGGAGAAGCCATTTGATAGCTCAGATGAAGATACAAGAAACTGCTAGATGCCAGTGGTGGAGTTGTGAACAAGCAAAATTGAGACTGGGCAAAGACTAGAGAAAAGGGAATGTGACAAAGTAGATGGAGACTCTTAAAACTAACAGGCTGGGTTGTATTTACTGCCGTAGAAAGGTTTCATGATTGCAGTATATTTTTGCTGTGATAGCTTGGTCTTTTTTCAGTGCTTCTATGCAAGATGGATCCTGGCAATTGCAATTTAAAATGTATCTTGCTCCTAATACTGCAATTATCACAGCATGCTAAGGCTGCCTTCTCGGTGACCTCTGCAGTGGGAATACAGAATAGTTTTTACCTTATGTAATGTTTTAAATAAAATGTTCAAAGTGGGCCAGAGTGATAGGAAAGCAAACTTCTGAATGGGCATGTGACCTCTGTTATTCTGAACATCTGAATACTGAAGTGATGCTGTATATCTCAATACTAGCTTGAAAGTTGTTTTAGGCCGTATTTAACTTTCTTGCATCCTTCTCTTATGAGATTATTTCAACATATAGTGTTCTGCTAACGCACAAAACCAAACTAGAACAGAAAATGAGCAGAGAAGCAGAACTGGTTTTTGCTTCTTTTTGGGGAACGGATTGATGCGTTACTCTGAATTTGTTCAAACACAGAGGCTTTGGAGTTATATTTATTTATTTATTTATTTAAGCACTGCATGGGCATCTTCTGACTTCCATTCCCTCTGGATCTTTGTACCCATCTGGTTCCTTTAGTGACCACAGTATTTTCCCCTGTTTTTCCCTCCTGTTAAAGCCCTGCCCATGTTGTCAGAGGAAAGCAGTATTTCTTTTTTCTGTATAGCATAATTTCTTAAAGTGCTACACTACACAAACATAGCAGAGGTAAATATTATTGGAGAGGGTATAGCATTAAAGAGAGAAGAGGCTGTGCATATTCATTGAAGATGGACTTGCTTAACAAAATTTCTACTGCGGCATGGGTACCTCCTTCATGAGAAGGAAAATTTCAAGGAATGATCTGAAGTGGTCAGGTTACTGTGTCTTAGTCACTTGCTGTCTATCAATTTAAGTGTAGTAGTTGACAGTGCATAAATGCTGTTTGTCCTGCCCCAACTGCATGTGTAAAACCTGTTAGGTTAAAACACCCTAAGTGGCATTTAAATTGATGTGTTTTGACTGGCAATTGGGATGGTCATTAGTTAGTTATTGTAATTCAGCCAGCAGACAGAAGCCCAGTAGGATGTGGTACCTTAATGCTGGATTGACTGGTTTAAGAGTGTGGCTGCAGGACTGGGAAATTAAGATGTTTTCTCCTCTTTTAGGTTGAATACACAAAATTGTTCATAAGAAAAGATTTTGCACCTTACCCCTTTGTTTGTCTCTCTTTCCCCAAGTACTTCATTCAGTGTTACCTGCTTATTAAGGAAAACACTGCATTTTCTTTCAGATACAATGAAGATTATTCACCAAGCACACAAATCTAAGGTATGATTATTAGCTCTATTATTCCCCTTTGCATGCTTTAATGCAGGCAGATCTCTGCACTGTCAAACAAGACTGGGGCAGAGACAGTAAATTGTTATTCTCTTCTTTGTATTCTGGTTCTCTGGTTTGTAGACTGGTGAACTTGTAGTGAGTTTGGAAGATGATGACAAACTGATTTTGGAAGAAGACAGTACGCTGAAAGCAGCTGGAGTAGGTAGGAGAACATTTGTATTGACTGAAGGTGCTGTTCATTGTGATTGTCATTAAACTGATAACTGGCTGATTATGTTTGGATAGCCTGCTGAAAAGTAAATGCTATTCCTGATGCTCTTTACACTATTTGGTAATTATTCAGGGAAGAAGGGGGGATAATGTACATTCAGATCATTGGACTGAGGGCAGCAGGTATCTGCACTCAAAATGTTCAGAATGCAAATTGTGATTTTTAGAGGGTATGCTTATAATTCTGCTGAGAGTAATTTTAAATGATTGACAGATAGGTTATTAGTACCGTGTCTGCTTAGTCTTATCAGTAACATTTAAACTGATGTTTTGGTTAGAAATGTAAGTAGTGGAACCAGCATGGAATAATGAAATAAGATTAGATTTGTTTAATGTGCAGCATACAGTGCCTGATAGCCAGATTGCTCAGGAAATCTCAAGCAATATCATTTAGAGAATGTGCTGAACATTGCAAAGAGTTGAAACTTGACCTGATTTCTCACATTTTGACAGGGGACTACATATAGGGCATGTCTTTTGGTAGTGTAAAGAAATGTCTGTCATGATAAAATTGATGGTCTCTGGATGTCCTTTGGGCTTCTCATAAATGTGGCTGAGTGACTTTGTGGCAGCAGGGTACTTCAGGGATGTAGTTGCATTCCATCTTGATATGGACATTCACTCATTTGAATCTGATTTGCCTAGCTGGAATGCATAACTGCCTGGCTATAAGTGCAGGATTTTCACAGAGAAAGCTCCCTCCTGTTCCTGATGCCCTCTGATTGCTCCCTAGCTAGTGAATGGGATTTCTTTTTCATAGGTTTCTTGTCTCTTTTGTTTCTTTCCGTTTAATTTCTGGTTTTAAGTGACTTGGGATGTCTTTTTAATATTTTTCTCTGGGGTGCACTGCAATTGGCCTCAGTACACCTTTCCTAAAGGTCTTTGGGTATTCCTATAGTAAGATAGTTATTATCTGGCTGTTTGTACTAAGCCAGGTCCTTTTGTCTGGGGAAAAAAAAAAAAGGTTCCTCAGGAAGGAAGACTACTGGCACTTAAGTGTTATAGATTTGTAATTTAGTTAGCAGAGGATTCATTTAAGCATGATTTTTCATCTACCTGAGGTATAAGAGGCAACACAGTTCAGGAGAGGGACTGATGACAGTGCTAAATGTTGAATTAGAAATTACATTGTCCAGAGCTGCCTTCAAAGGTATTGATAAATATTTGTACATATTACCCATCTTTGAAACTAGGTTTGTAGCTACAGCAGTAGAACAGTTGGATGTGGTCTTGAAAATGGTGTCAAAGCATCAGAGTAAATGTTACAGTGAAAGGAATTTGGAATAGACCAGCCTGTTCTGTGTGTCTCCGTACAAACAGAGGGGTAGCTTATTCAGGGCAGAAAACAATTTAAAGCTGCTTTTTATTTTTTCAAAAACAACTAACAGCAGTTAGTCATTAGTATATAGTGGGTATTTGTGATAGAAAAGAAAAACTTTTGCTTTGTAAAATACAGTATGCCATTTTGAATTTTGATATGTTCCAGCATATCTTGATATGAAAATAAGCTAAATAAGGAGTGGGGTCTTTGTAGTAAAATCTTGAAGATTTTACTCTTCTTCAACAAGAAGTGGAAAACAGTAAACTAAGAAAGTAAAGTGTGATTGTATATACCACTAGTCCTCATATTGTAGGGTTTCATTTACATCAGTAGGAAGATTTGAAATCTCCTACTGACATATTACATTTTTCAGTATCTAGTCTGGACAAGACTTACTAGAATAAAGCAGAGAGTTGTTGTTAGAAAATCTGGGAAATTCTGAGACACACTGAACATTTTTTCTAAGCTGCAGTTGATTGCCCTTGGCACTTTGCAGGGTTGGGCTAGAGAGTTATAAATTATGAGGACATTAGATAAGTATCCTCGGGAAAGCCTCTGTGGTAGTGATTATTATTACAGTTATTATGTAGTCAGCAAAGTTAATGCTTGCCTGTTTTTTCTTAAGAGCAGGGTGTATGTTAATAAAGTGTTCAGTATTCATTGCAAACAGTCTTGTCTGTTTCCTAGTTGAAATTCTAAAACCCCTTCTGCTTTTTTTTTTTCTTTTTTACAAGACAGGCAGACTTCATTAACTTCAGGTTTAATTTAAAAAACGAATGTGGAACTTATTGGCTCAGCACCTTAAAGAATTCCATGTTTAATAATTGTGAAGGCTTTCCATCAGATTTGACTCTGTTCTGAATTAGTAATGTTGCTGACTTATTGTTTTAGAAGAGGAAGTCCTTGACCTACTGGGTTGAAAGAATTGTGACTGCTCTGAACCTTTGTGGGTCCTTTAGCTCTGCCATATCCCCTGTGAATAATTAGAGGTATTTGAAGGTATTGCTGGAGAAGCCAATTTGTGTCTTTCACTTTGCATATTGTTGAAGCCTCATGAATTAATCATCAGCAGGGCAAAAAAATTAACTTCTTCAGACACATATTTTGATGGGTCATGAGGGAGAATGTAAAGTGATCTGTAAAATATTCTACTGATCCTCTAAGTATTAAATTATTATACCTATAGGCTAATTTAATGGAAAAAACAGTTTATTCTTTTCTCTCCTAACAGAAAAATGCATAAAAAAAAAAAGAGAAAATCAAGCTTCATTATTTTTCCAGCATTTGAAGGAGTTAGATATACAATCACTTAATTTTCTGAATGCATATACAAACAATTCTGAAGGCTGCATTAAACAAATCTTGAGGGGTCTTGTGTACATATTTGCTTCTATATATTAAGGTTCCTGGGGTTTGTTTTGTTTTGTTTTAACAAGGTTAAATGACATCGTTAATACTGGATTTTTTTTTGCAAAAATATGAGGGGGGGGAAGGGGGGGAAGTGTGTGGTGATTTATAATCATCGTTGACCAAAAAGTTGCCAGTTGTCTTCTGAGATTCTAAATAGCTGACTGTTGAGCGATTCATTTACTAGTGTGCTAAATACTTAATTTTTTTATTCATTCTAGCAAATGAGACCGAATTAGCATTCTTCTGTGAGGAAGATTACAGAAACTACAAAGCTAATCCTGTTTCAGCCTGGTGAAGATCCCGAGAGATTGTTTTGTTTTCCCACACCTGTTGTAAATTTTACTTATTCTGCTTAATGAGATTTTTCTTAAAGATCAATAAATCCTAGAGGATTGCTTTGCAAACAGTGCAATTCCCTTCCTATAGAAATTTATTTCTGTCAATATGCTAAGACTGAGGGAAGGAAAACAGGGGGACATAAATGACTTCTTGCTCACATTTCTTTTTCCTTTGCTTGCCTCTTATGATGCAGAGAGTGCAATGTCTGACCTGTGACACATGTTCTTGGCGTGATCCTACAGCAGACATTAGCTACATATGAAGATTGTACAATGCACAGTAAGATCCCATCACTTCTAATGAAAATGGAAACATTTTATGACCAAATAACTGGGTATTTTAGAGAGCTTGAGAAGAGAGTCTCTCTGTTTCAAGGCATAGCTTCTCTCATTTTATGTTTGGTCTCTTTTGTTTAAATGGTGCAGACTGGCAAGTTTTTCATGCTCTTCACTGGTGAATGCCTTCCTTTATACTCTTGTCCAGCTCCCTTTAGCATGCTGAAAGGGACAAATGACTGTTGGGAGGCTTTTGTGTTCAAGGACCAGCTTGCCTGTTTCTAGCTTTACTTCATGGAGACACCTTCACGTAAGAGGTAGCAACCTAAGTTCTGCCACGACACTTGTGTGCATAAGTAGGAGTTGGGCATTTTTCCAAATGGAGTGAAAGCTCATGGTTTCAGTTTTATGAATAAAACCTGAATGATTGCATTTTTCTGAAGAGAGGCCACATGTCATCAAGACTGGAATTGATTCTTTCCTGCTTTCCAAGAGCCAAATACTCTGTTGCTATTTGTTAGTTCTTGGCAATTCCAAGCTTTCCTACTACATTAACAAAATCAAGAATATGAAAAAATAATCATGTATTCAGTAGAGTACGTTTAGATAGATACTGCTTATGAAACTGCTTTTCAGGGAGCACCAGGATGGGACACTGTGCCTTTAAGCCTCTCTTCTGAAATAGAAGTGATGCTGGCTCTCTGCCTTTTCAGGCTTTTTGAGCATAGGCTCTGCTAAATCAAATGGACCTTATGTGCAATTGCTTTTAGACCCACACATCTACCCTCAGCTCTGGGTGAGAGCTGACAACACCATTTCCACAGAGATTTTCCAGAAAAGTAAGCTTACCATTTCCCAGAGCTTTGATTTTTTTTTTTTCCTTTTTATTGACATGATAGTGAAAGCAGATGTGTGATTTTCAAAATATATAAATAAAAGTTCTCTTTACTTTAGAAGTAGAGCCAAAGAAACCTCTACGTATTGTTACCACCTCATTTTCTTCATCCTTCCTCACAACTCTTTGGTTTAGGCTGGTTTTGGTAGCTGGTGTTACTCAACCACAACTTTGCTTCAAACAGAGTTTTATTCTCTTGTGAAAGTAGTCTGCCACTTTGTCATCTGTGACTAAAAGGGTGATTTATCTTTATCTTGTAAGGAGGAGTCCTGTGCCACTGAAGTCACCTGTGTTGTCTTGGGATATAGATGCTGTTATGAATGCTCTGATGAATTTGTGAGGAGAACTTACTACTTGTCTCCTCTTTCTGTCCAAGCTGCCTTTCTGTTGCTGGTACCTTCTCTCCAAACATGGGCCCATGTCTCAGCTACCTTCGTACAGAGTCTGTCATGTTTACAGATTAATCTGGCTAATATGAGTTTGTAGTCATCTGCAAAGCAAATGCATTGCACTCCAGAATACACCAGCTTTGTTCAGCCAAACTTACAACAATGAAGGTAACTCTGTAAGAAGTAGATGGCACATCAGAGAGATCAATGGCTTAGACTGTCCTACCAAGGCATCTAGATGACATCTGTCAGCACGCTCAGGCTCTCAGACTGAGCAAACACTGTAATTCTTTTCCTCCTGTTCTGGGGATTTAAATTTGGTCTCTAGCCCTTTCAGACAGATTTGGATTGATTTTATGATCCCTCTTCTACAAGGCATTTGTGTTTGAAAGAGTCACCAAATTTTAACAACTATCCGTTCTGGGCTAGCTTGGTTACAAATATTCCGTGCCACATCGAGCGTGGCACAGTGAAAGAGCAATTCTACAGCATCAACAAGAAAACGGTAAATGTTTTAATGCAAATATTCAAGAATGATGTGTCTGGCATTCCAGATGAGCTCCTCTTTCCAAGGGAAGAATTAAACTACTGCTTTGTGAGCTCAGTTCACTCTGGCAATGGCACTTCATTGGCTCCTTTCTGCAGCAGCACAGTACAGCCTTTTGTAATGCTCTCAATGGCCATACTTGTAAACTGGTTTCTTCCTAAAGTGTTTTTCTACTGTGTGTTTCTTTAAATTGGACCTTTAATAATGCTTCTCTCAAATAAACCCCACAAAGCCTTAGATAATAATTGAGAGCTTAAGATAGATGCTGTCCCAACATTTTTTGGTGGGATATGTTATAGCCTTGTGTCAAAGTAGGTTTGATTCCAGGGTTGTTGAGTACTGAATGAAATCTATGAATACTGGCTAGTAAATTACTGAAGATTGAGACGTCTTTGTCCATGTTGTTACGAAATCCTCTTTCTATTGAAGGAAACCACCTGCAGAGTTGGTACTATGGTTTGTTATCCTAGCAGAGGTCGTGAACTGCATCTGCTTACAACTGCTGTTAATCAAAGGTGGCTTCTCCATAAAGTGTAGTGGAGTGAGTCATATAGCTTTGCTAGTGTTTGTAGACATCATGGGGTTAATAAGGATTCATCTTTCACTATGATGTCCTTGGAGTCTTTCACCAGCCTTCTTTTTTTTTAAACAAAAAGAAGCATCCAGAGTGGATGCTGAAATAAGATACAACTTCTCCTGGGTTATGGCACTGTGTCAGAAAAAGGCGGTCAAACTGGAAGCTGGGGGTGTGTGCAGGGCTTGTGCATTTCTTGGAGAAAAAGTCACTTCAGAGAGGCCAGAGTTTTGGTTAGGAGATGTGGAAGAATAGCTACTAAAGGAGAAGAGATTAGGAAAGGAATTGTCATGAAGACGAAGAAGAGGTAATTGTAACTGAATAAACATGAAAAATCTTGAATGTTCAATACTCTTGGCACAGAAATACTGTAGCGCTGCTTTTTACAGCACTGCAGGTATGAAAATGGTTCATTTTAATAATTTTTTTTAATTGAACTCATAAACTGCTGGAATAGGCATCTTGTGTTTTCTGACTTTGTCATGTTACGCCTTCTGCATGCAACAGTTTTTGTGTATTTTTCTGTCCAGAGGTAGTTATGTTGCCTTTTGAAGAAGCAAGAGCTAAGAAAACTGCTGACACGGGTAGCTGAGTTAAATGTTGATAGCTACCAATGGCATAAAGGAGATGTCAGAGGTCTGATATGCACCACCCTTAAAGCTGGGGAACTGCTTTATCTGATGTAAACATTCTGTCTTAAAAATGATCCAGAGATACAATGTAAGCTGTGGTGTTTCTCTTTCACCCCCTGGGAATATCCACCACATCCCCTGACAGATCATTTACTTAAAAATGAGCTTGCAAGTAACAGTCCAAGAGTTACCATAGCCATGACAGGACATCCATGGGTCCGGTCCTTGGAAACTAACAGCCACAGAAATCATAAGTGTCCAGAGATCAAGAATTCGAGGTCTCATAGGATCCTGGCTTCAGAGCAATGGCAGCCAGCTAGAGGCGTTGTAAATGCTTACGCCAAGTGCACACTTTTGCTTATTGAACGAATTGGACTGAGCTTACTGTTCCTGGTTGGCACCTGGTCCTCTTTCCATGGCTTCCTTTGTGTAGTACTACTTGGCACAGATTTGGAAATGATTAATGAGCCAAACAACAATGCCCAGTAGACAGCTTTGCTACTTTTCACAGTACCAGGACGTTGACTTTTCCCTACTACCTACTTTCCTATTGAGTTAGAGAAACAGACGCACCTTGGCGTGTTTTCCCAGCCACTTCCCTTTGCTTCTTGCTGCCACCTTTGCTGATTTGCAGTGCTTTAATGGTTAGGTTTGTACCTCATCTGATATGAAATAGCAGCATTTCCTGTGGCAGTGAATGTACATGTTTTTTCCTTTGTATTTATGGAGAAATATGCTTTGAAATAAAGAGGAGGCCTTTCCTACACAGTTACTAATAGTGCACAACAAAGGAGCCTTTCTTGCTTTACAGGAGGATTTGCATAGGATAGCACTGTCTGCTGGTCGTTGGAAACAAAAATACTTTATCGTAATGCTTTCTATCTTAGAAGGAAACAAGAGAAGTTACATCAGGAATACAAAAAAAAAAAAAAAAAAGCAGTAAAAAGCTAAGACCTATTGCCATAAACTCTCTTTGTCTGCAGAGAAAGCCACCAGATGTCAGCACAGCCTGTTCTTTCATTCTCCAGAACCTGTGTAAGCCAAGAAATATGTAATGTTTATGAAAAATGCTTATCTGTGAATTTGTTTAGCCTGCAAACTATGTACTAGGGTTTTGGTGATGAAAGCTGAATCTTTCCTTGCAGAAAGTATTTCTTTTTGTATTAAAATCAAAAAGCGGCAAATTGAACTGGTATCAGTGCTTAAATTCCTCTTGTTAGAGAGCATCCCTTGTGGAGCCAGTTTCAGCGTATCTAAATCTTTGCATGCTGTGAGGAGGCATTTGCAGACCATTCATTTGAAGAATGACTGTCTGGAAAAGATCAGAGTTAATTTGCTGAGGTTTTGTAAAGTAGATTTTAAGTATGCCTATTTTTTTTAAACACAAGGAAACCCACCCAGAACAGACGCACACGCAAAGCAGAGCAAAGCATCTTCAGCAACACAGCTTAAACACACAATAAATGTATCCTCCATGCTTCAGACCCTAAGCTCCTAATATTTCTTCCTTGTAGTGCAAATGCTGAGGAGAACCCAGTGCTGCGTTCTCTGGGCCATGCTTTCTGAACTGTGGTGAGCTGAGCTGGGATATGGGTTTCAGAGCCCAAACCCAAGCACTGTGCACAGCTTTATGCTGTCAGTGATTGAAGTGTGCATAGATGCTGCCTGGTTAAGAGGGTAAATTTGAACTGTTGCACAGGGACAAGGTATAAGGGAGCTTTCTGCTGACATTGCCGTCACTTTTCTTGCAGCAGCATGCAGATGCCAGGGAGACTATTGAAGAGAGGGAAGTTAAGTGGCAGGTAGAGCCTGAGCGACCTAAATTCTTCCTACCGTTTTGGGCTGGTTCTTTAGTTCCTTTCTTCTAGCCTCATAGCACTGGTGTCATGCTAGGGGTTTACCACAGCTTGCTGTGTATGAGAACTGCTTATGGATTCCAAACAATCACTATAACCCTCAAACACCGCTCACAATCTGGAGGTGATGCATGGGAGACTGCAGCTGTGCAGCTTGCGCTGTCTGCAGGGGAAGACTACTGTGTGCGTGGGTGCAGGTCGTTTGGAAGGTGCTATTCTTGTTTATCTTCCTTCTGCACAGCACCTGGTTCTGCTTTGCTGGGGACCAGGATCTTGTCTTGAAGTATGGCATGTGTGGCAGATAGCTGAGAGGTGGGTGATGCGGTGGGGGGAGAGGATGGGAGATAGAGCTTTCATCTTCCTGTAGATATATTTTTGATCAGGTATGGATTGTACCTTTTGTTTGCTAGCATCCTCTCTGACAGCAGTTGATTGTTTCCATTGTAGTGGGCCAAAAGCAGGTAGCCAAGAAGAGTTGGAGTTTCAACTGATAGTGAATACATTCAAGAGCTCAGTATGACAGATTAATATATGAATTTACCTTTGTATGTCCATTTCTGTTCTCTGGCAGGTGACTTATGATGTTGTGTACCAGGAATGTCAGCAAGTACTGTAAGAACTGCTGCTGCCTGCTCTCATTCCACTTGGGAAGATTTAATTCTGCTTTCTAACCTGAAACCCAGGGAACATATTCTTTAAGGCTAGTTTGGGAAGCCCCTTTTCTTCAGTGAACTGAGAATTTTTTAAATGGAAGGTGTGCTATCAGTCTGTTTTTCACACTACTTTGAGGTCACATCTTTGGATCTGTGCATGTATTTGTGTCTATGCACCTGGAGGACATCAGTTGGTTTTAGAGTCAAAGCAGCACTCTAGAAATGAAAGCTTTATGTCCTAGCAGTTAGTATCGTGGCCATTTCTTTACACTACTCCCCTGCTCCATCCCTCCCAAATCAAATAAACCTGTTTTTGAAGAAAGCAGGCTTGAATCTTGCACAGCAACTTTGTTTTCTAGAGCACTGAATGAGACGGCTACTTAAATGCAGACATCTCATTGTAGGTACCTCTTTAAGCCAGCAGGCTGGCTTGCAGCAGCACCTGAAGCTAGCTAATTGCAGATCAGATAAGGGAAACAGATAGCAAGAATAACTAACCAGCTGAACAGCAGCAGTAATGGATCCTTCAGTGCTGAGGTTTCTAAACCTAAAGCAGATTATCTTGGTAGGAGGACTGCAGTAGTGCCACTTTAAGTGTTTGAAAGGTTCTAGTAGTACTATGGCTTGTAATACGTGCTTCTCCTGACTGGCCACTCACAACAGTTATTTTTGGACTTTGATTATGAAAGTCCTGCACACGCTCTGCTAACAAGAACTGTCCCTAATCACAGTTGGTAACTTTCTGCTGCGTATTGTATGCTCTGCTTTAAAACAAACATGGTTCTGGCTTGCACTAAAAAACCTCATGCAGAAATTCTGCAAAACTGATGCTGTTTATTAAGGCACAATAAACAGATAAAATAAAACTAAAACTGTCCTGGTGTAACAAATCTCATTCCTCAAACCTGAGGCACAGTCGGCAGATCCCACTAGCTCAGCGTGTGAAATTTTGAGCTCAAGGATAATGCCAGACTTCTGTGGCTGATTGTAGCAGGTCATGCAGCTGCACTGGCCAACTTGGAGAGTCTGGAAGAAATATATTTCATAGAGGTGCTGAAGCAAGTGCATCCCCCTAAAGATTTAACTGTAGTTTGATATATCACTTTGTAAGTAAATCCCTGAAGAGCAAGAAACTAATTGCCCTGTTAAAAGCCTTGTATTATAAAACAGAAGGAATGAGAGAACTGTACCTGCAGAGGTTAATCTTCAGCACAGGAATTTAAATGAACTCATTAAAATCAACTTACAAATTAGCTTATTAAAATGCAATGCTGAAGATCCAGAAGTTGGTTGATCTGGCATGCCACTTCTGTGAAGAAGTGACTTAAGAAACAGAGAACAAAATGACAGTATTAAAACTCCATTTTTCTTTCCAGTCCCATAAACCCTCATCTGGAACTCTCTCTTCCTTGAACTCTGTGTCAACAGCACTTTTTGTTTAGTGAATTAAGCTTGTTTGATCCTGTGCTACAAGTCCTGTGTAATGTCACTAGCCTCTTGTAATGAAATTTATGTCAGTACACACTTGTGCCCTCCCACATGCATAGGAACTCTGTAATTGAGGCCCTGGCACTGTGGGTCACAGCAATTATTATTTTCACTTATTACCTTGATAACGAGACTCTACCAGATGCTGACTGTAGTGAGTTTTATTTCCTAGTGGTTAATTTCTAGATAATCACACTTCTACTGTCATTAAAGTAATAGTATCGTTTAGGCAGAGGAAGGAAAAAAAAGACTCAAATAAGTTCTGATATAATTATATAGACCCATTCAGAATATATTTTATATAATTATAGATGCAAATGGTTAGAACTGGCTTTACTCTTACAGCTTTTAAGTTGGTTCTTATGTATCCCAGAGGCACATAGTAGGCAATACAGAAAATAAAAATATAAAGAATTTACATTCCAGCCATATATTCTGCAATAATGTATATATGTGCCCATGTACATATGTACAGAGAGATAAACTTGAAGTACAAAACCAGTTAATTGATAAATTTTAAGCTAACCTCACTGAATCCCTTATCCACATCAAAAACTGCATAGGGAAAAGATAATTGAAAAATTCCTCAAACTACTTTCTGGCATTTCAGAATCAGAAGGAATTACTCAAACTGTTGTGTCAAAGGTTTTAAGGACCAGATGCCTACAGAGGGCACCATTTGAAATGCTTTCCTGCATTTATAGGAATTGGTTTGAGTCTTTAGGAGGGATGGTGACTGACTGGACAGTATGTTGGCACAGGTGTTGCCTGGAGACACTAGACCAGCCTTTTTTTAGATGCTGTGGAGCTGCAGTAGCTGTGGGGATTTTGAGCTGGCTCGTCTGTCCATCTGGGCTTGTGTCCATCTGAAGAGCACCATGCTGACTCATTAATGGAGCCAGCTCCTCGGGTAGGTCTGGTTGCCTGACTCTGCTTCTGCTTGTGAAAATTGTCCCTTTGCCATTGATGGGAAAGGGTGTATGAGCATGAAAGTCATGTAAGCAAAGCAAAGGTGCAAACCTTACTTCTGCTGGGCAGAAAGGTGAGTCTTTAGCCTTGCAGTGACTCACAAGAAAACCACACCTTTCCCCTTGAAGACAAAGTGTGCAATCCTGTGTAATGTTCTTTTCCTGCCTTCTAATCCCTTTTATTTTTTGCCACTAGGCAGTAGTCTTGCCTGACCTAAAGATGTGAAGAGGACTTTAGGTGGGATAAATACGCTATTGTAACCAGAAAATGTGTAAACCGGTGCTTTTATGTTGACTTTGCTTGATGATGAAATGTAAGAGAAGACTAACAGAACAAGCTTGCTGCATCCAGTTTCCCTCAAGGGTGAGTTAAACTGGAGAGGGTGGAATTATACTCAGGTGAAACTGTCTCAAATTCACGTGGAAACTTAACATACCATTCAAACAAAAAAAAAAAATAGTGCTGGGTAATCAATCTGCTTGGTGAGTGATTTGATCAGGTGCCGATCTGCGCTAGGTTGTGGAGATGGATGGGGAAATGTGAGTAACCACAGCTTTCTGATGGGAGAGTGGAAAAGAATGGTGCCCTCCCCATGTTGCCAAAAAAAAACAAAATAAAAAAATCAGCTGATTATGAAATCTAGGCATTTCCCTCATGTTGATTGCTTTCTATTCATTGAAAGGAAGTGGTGTTTGGAGACTTTACTGTAAGCCTTAAGCAAGAATTGAAATCCCTCAATATCATCACTGGCACCATGAGGAATATTTGGAGAATATTATGGTAGTTATTTGAGGCTAGACAGGGAATTCTTGAGATTCTCCGTCTGTAGAGAAATCATCCAGGTTACAGAAATGATGTTGGCTTGTAGAAGGGCCTATGTGCTTCAAAGTTGATGATTTCCCTCCCCATTTATATTAACTGGCCTAGTAACAAGTACTTTCTTGTCCCACAAACGGTACCTCATTTGTAGCTGGCAGATGTTGTTTGTCAAAGCAATACTGAAGACTGAGTGGTGTATTTTACTTAACTGTAGAAAATGAGGCTATTCTAGCCATGTCCTTGTGTCTGACCTTACTGAGGTAGTTTTCTTGTGTCATCCCGATCGCTTGCTTTTAAATGAGCTTTTGTGAATGCCTGTCCATTCTCTGTTTGGTGATTCGGATGTCTAAAATCTAAAGAATTATTCCGATAAAGAGCAAGAGCTTGAAGGGATAGAAAGTGAC